AGAGAGACTCACCCAGGAATGGAGAAAATGTGTGCTAAAGGATGTTTGTACATGATGTTGGTGTTTGAATGCAGGGGTCTGTTTGTATGTAGTGTTGGCATTTGACTGCAGGGTGGTTTTGTGTATAGTGTGGGCATTTGAATGCTAGTATTTATGGACATATACACATACACTGTCACACACAGATACAAACACACACTAAAATGCAGATACTCGAACATACTGACACAGGTTAACACACACTGACACACACTCACACAGACACAGATACACACATTGGCACACACGAGCACAAACTTATACACACACACACACACACCAGTCATAATATACATATTTGTATACACCTTCTGCTGTCATATGTTTTGGGTGTAGAAGGTTCCCTGGTGTCCATTAGAATCTGTCTGCTGCCTGAAGCTGGTGAGAGTCTTGGGCTGATGGGAGACTGCTACTCTCTATCCCCCAACTCTTTCGGCTATCTCCTCACCCTTCCCACACATTGTTCTGTAACCTGGTAGGAAGTGATCAAAGATGCCCATTGGGTGTCCCTAAGTGTGAGGGACACTTGAAGGGCCCACCAGCCTGAGGACTCCTGTGCAGCTACACCAACTACACTGCAAGTATTTCTGCTGGTGGATTTTTAACTCTTCCTCCTCTTTTTCGCCCTATTGGTCACTTTTTCAAGATGAACTGGCCATTGAAATAATAATCAGAGCATGTAATTAAATAATGTATACACACACATTATGAATGTAATAATGATACATCCACATCCGATACTGTTCGACTATTTAGACTGTTAAGCAACTCAGAGCCTGGAGTTTTATATAACATATACAAGCTTTTGCTAATGGAAATATGGATAATGCAATATTGCAGAAGATGATCGCTGTTTTACTTTCTTTCTTACAGGTCTCCGTCACTTATCGATCTTAAAAATGGTAGGACTTGGTGCTGAAGCAAATGGTGTCTTAGAACTGTATCCTATTAATGGTAAGAAGTCACTTCAAAACTTTAAAAAAATGTAAACTGGGGTTGAGTCACTAAACTATGGATCGTGGTAAACGTAAACAAATAATAATTTTAAAATTTAACTTGAAACAACTTAGGAAACATTCTTACATTTTACTATTGAATACAGTGAATCCAGAAAGAACAACTTTTATGCGCTGTCATACACTCATGATCCCTGTTGGTCAATGGTATTGACAACCGGTGTTAAAAGGTTGTCTATAAAGTTGAGGCCTATTATCTCATGTGTAGTTTTAAAAAGCCATGCCATCATCAAGATACAACCAACATTAAGAAATTAAATTAAAAAACAAAAAGCAAGCAAGAGGGTCATGAAGATCCTCTTCGATAACTACAACCTCCAGTGCAGTGGATTATTGGTTAATGAGCCAGGCTCTTTCCATCATGCCATAGGCTCTTGGATGTGGGATATATTTTATAATCTAGGTACTGGAGGCCACAGGACCTCATATGAATCTGATAGAAAATGCCTATGCTCTTGCCTACTAACGTATTGGCAGCCCCAATCCCTTGGTCTGTGAAGGCGCCTAAACATAGCAATAAATAAGGAAAAATATATAACACTGCCTTGCCATTAGTAACTTGATTCAGCAACTATTCTTCAAGTGTGTTTCACTGGGTTCCAGTAAGTGTAGCGTTGGACTTTTTAGTCAACAGTAACTCAAAAACAACATATAAATACCAGCTTTTCCAGGACTTAAACATACCCAGTCCCAAAAGTAAAAACTTTAAAAAATATTGTTTCTTTAAAATTATGTTACAATGTTACAGTTTGGCAAAAGCAAGGGAGATTCCCTTTTCTATTGGTACTACAGCACCAGAATGATGGCCAGTAATCCTGGTGCCTAAAGGAACACTATAGTTTTAGCAATACAAATCTGTATTTCTAACTTTATAGTGTCCCGGTCCCGACTCTTGTTTAGGTCACTCTGGTGCATTAAAATTGTAAAAAAAAAAAAATAAGATAAGAATAAAAAAAAGATAGAGTAAAAAAAAATGTAGTTACCCTTTTCCACCCCCAAGCTCCCTCAGTGTCATTAAAGGGACACTGCAGGTACCCAAACCACATCAGCTCAGTGAAGTGGTCTGGGTGCAATTGGTGCTGCAATGTTTACATTGCAGCTCTAAGTTTGCCCTCAGTGGCTGTCTACCAGACAGCCATTAGAGGGCTTCCTGAATTGAAACGGACCTCTGGTCCGGTATCTGACGCTGGAGAAGCAGAAAAGGCAGCAATGTTATGGCCTACACAGAGGCCTTTGTAAATTTGTAAATTCACTTTAATCCATCCTCACTGCTCTTGGCATATTATTGTTGTCCAAACACAAACATGTTTGCACTGATAATGTAAATATCTAATTTGTGCATTATTAATGTGGCTGCAGAGAGCCTGTGCTGGTTGAAGGGAGAGCCATGTTTTTTCAAACTGCCTCAAAACAGCTTGACACGTAAAACCAGAGTACAGTGTCATAATATCATTGCACCAAAACCACTTCAATGGGCTGTCGTGGTTATGGTGCCTAGAGTTTTCCACTTGAGGGCAATACTTTAACCCCTTAAGGACCAAACTTCTGGAATAAAAGGGAATCATGACATGTCACACATGTCATGTGTCCTTAAGGGGTTAAACAGCCCCTCTTACCTACACGTAATAAAATGTCCATATCAATGTATTAAGCAATATGTACAAATACAGAAAATATTACTAGCTTAGCATCTCTGAAAATATATATCTTGTATTTTCCTAACAGGAAGCTCCAGTGTAGACCGAGAAGATCTTACTTCCAACTTGGTGAAAGACATAAGAAATTATTTTCAAGTAAGCCCAGAATATTTTTCCATGCTTCTGGTTGGGAAAGATGGAAACGTAAAATCTTGGTATCCTTCCCCTATGTGGTCCATGGCCATAGTTTATGATTTAATTGACTCTATGCAACTTCGGCGCCAAGAAATGGCCATTCAGCAGTCACTGGGTATGCGTTGCCCTGAAGATGAGTATGGTGGATATGGTTACCATGGCTACCATCACCAAGGATATGAAGAAGGTTATCAAGATGATTATCGACACCATGAGGGATATTACCATAGATACCATGACTAACAAACAAGATTACAATGACCAAAGACTAAAGTAATTTTAATGTGTTAAAAAAAAAACCTTACATTTTTGTTGTTCTTTCTTAATCACAACTATAAAAAAAGTAGTAGATAGTTTTGCATATTGTTTTAAGAAACTGGATGAGACCATGACTGCTGTTTAATAACATTAGTTTTTGCCTTTTTTTTCTTTAAACTTCAAAAATCCATATTATAGAATTTATGGTTTTTGCTCCATTCCTTACTTAGGGAAATGTTTTTGTATTTTAATTTTTAAAAAATATTTATTTTAAATAATATTTACATTCAACGTTTCTGAATAGATTTGAGAAGCAAGTCATCTAAAACAATTATGCAATACTGGGTTATGACACAGATGTCCAGCCTTGACCTTATAGCTGTTGGTGGAGTATATTTTTTTTCAGAGATTTATGGGAAATATAGTCCAATAAAAGCTAAGGGTCAAGGCTGAACATCATTGGAATTTAAGAAGCAGTGCAGGCATGGTAATTTGTCACCTGGGCAAAAAGGAAAGCTTAGGAAGGAACTTCCTACATTAGGGGAGGTCATGGAATCCCCGTGTTGCCAGTGACTGCCTGTAACAGCTGTTGGACAGAAACTGAGGGGTCAGGATAATGCTGTGCCTATATAAAATTAAAACACTTGTAGTAAGTTTTTAGTCTTACTAACTGCTACAAGAGTGCACAATTTATTCCATAGAGCCCTCTGGGGATGATAAGGAGCCCCCGGAGTTTGATAAACAGTAGTGTGAAAATATTGGAGCTCCTTTGAAGATAATAGAAACACACCAAATTATGACAGAGTGTGTCATGAAGAGTACAGAGAGACCCTGATGGTGGGAGGATGCTAGACAGCTCCCAGAGGATGACAGAAAGTCACCAATAGATAATAGGAAGCCCCAGAGGATGAGGACATTAGGGCAATCAATGCCTGCTCTTTACCATTTCAATAAATGGTATATTGACTGTATACATTATTCATTGCATGTGTTTTATTCATGTATCATACTTCACTTGTATTTTCCATCTCAAATGTTTAGAAGTGCTTTTTGTACGCTTTAGTATCGCAGAGATTGACCTTATGTATGAACTATTTCTTTCTCTATTTTTTAAACAAAGTACTTGACTGATGGTGTTTCTATTGGTTACCAAGGACATCAATAAAGCATTAGCATATCTATAAAGCACATGGCTAGGGTATAACATTGTGACCAACCATTACAGAGCACCTGGATCCAAGCTCAATATGTATGACAAAAGCACTGTAGATAAAGAATACATACTGCAAGGTAGGACTGTAGATCTGGACATTCGTTTTCTCATCAGAATTGTGGGTCAGTCGGTGATTGTTTGAATTCCCAAACTCAGAGCCAAATGAAGCCGAATCACAAACCAAATAAAATGTGCCAGAGATAAGCATGTTTGTTTCTTTTGTGATTCTGGACTCAGTATATGTTGTAAAAAAAAATTGATGGGGATGACTAATAGAGGACAGTCACGAAATGGTCACTATTGGTGTTATTCACAGATCAAGTGAGAAGAAACCTAAATAGGGGGAAAGAGTAGTGAAAAATATCAAAATATACATATAGATTTTTCACTGCTCTTTTTTTCCTCTGTTTATATGTATATTTTTTAAGTTTGAACTGTGAACCAAATGGCAGAAAATATGTCTATGACTATACTGCAGATTATACACGTAATACTTATACTTTTTGCGCTTTTTGGTTTGTCTGATTAGCTTTCCTGAATTTGTTTTCATTAAAAAAATTCAGCAGAGCCAAACCACCGTATATATATATATATATATATATATATATATATATATATATATATATATATATATATATAAAAATTTCAGGCAAAGTACATTTTTTTCCCCAGTTGCCAAGTCTGGTAGATGTGTGTGTTTTCATTAACTAGTAAGCATGACCATATATAAGAAACGTGATTTACATTTAAAACACAAAACAAAAATTACTTTTAAAAAATAAAAAAGATTATCATGCCAATGCTATGTGGATCACATACAAAAATAACTGTTGCCTTGATATGAAAGTATATATTTTTTTAATTGTTAAATAGTGCAATGTGGTGAGTTTAAAATATACTTACAAAATTTAGACAAATTAGAGGAGTTAAATAAAATATGCAGCTCAGACAATTTGGCCACTTAGGGTCTGGATAGCAATACAGGTCAATGTAATCAGGAATAGGAACCTCGTTTATTGAGATTTACTCATGGAACCAGTATTAACAGATATAGCATTATCAATAATGGGAAAATAAACTTCAAAGAGTCATAATTGTCTAGATAATTACCTAAATCTAGATCCCCTCAATCTAGTTTTTGGATACATTATGGAGCCAACCCCAAACTCAGGAAGCCATGAGTTAATTCCACCAAACTCGCTGTTCCTTCGAAATGAGTCATTGTTAAATCCATTCTTTGGTGGAATAAACTCTAGTGTGCAGGAGTTTGGTACTGCTGGTCCATCAATTCTATTTGTGCAGATACTCGATAACCCAGTTGGCATAGGCCTATGCAACAAGCATGTTACTTTGGTGGGCTGGTGTATCCTATTGCACTGTTCAGTTTGCTTTTAGAAAAGAAGAAATAGAGGTGAAAAAAAAAAAAAACGTATAGGAGCTCGAAATACAATATAATGTGCAGATAATTGCCGTTATAAAAAATAGAGGTTGTTTGAAAGGCTTATATATGGGTAAAACACATTTTTATAAGTAAATACAATTTCTCACACATTAAAACTGTTTTCATATGTGTAGAATAATGTTATAATTCCCTTATGTTTTTATCCTGCTCTCTGCTACATGTGCCTCAATGGGTGCCAATAATTCCTGTAGAAACAAGACTGTATGTGATACTTTATACACTTTGTGTTTGCAGAAATGCCAATGTATGCAAATTAGCCAGTTCTACTTTGGGACCCGTGCTCAATTTCCCCTAGCTGGCAATCTACTTATCTGTGATACAAAAGGAAAATAGGAATTAAGAGCCAAATCCACAGCATAATAGATGCTTTTGACTATTAAACATAAGTACAACAACATTAAACATAAATATTAGACTCAGTTGTGCATGTGTGGCTGGGTGATGGTGGATGGCACAGGGCATGTAAGCTCAAATGTGCATAACCATAGATATCCATGTCCCTTGTTTCCAACTCAGACTTTGCACAATGTGTGGTTAAAGTGGCATACTTGCAGTGTATTATCTCTATGCCTGTAGCATAAGGATACCTCTGCACAATGCATTTATAAAGTGCCATCACTTGATATTTGCATGACAGTTGCTGTATAAATAATGCTCTTTATTTTAGCTAGACTACAACAAGACCATCTACATAGCACACTGCAACAAGGGCTAACATTTCTGCTGGCCGAAATTTATGCCAACTATATGCCTGGGGCATCTAGTTTAACCATCAATGCTTTAAAAAACTCAATATCCCCAAGTTATTACTTACAAAATGTGTTAGAAAAAAATAAATGTGTCTATGTATTTGTTGATTTATACACCAAAAAAAGAATAAAAGTGGCATTTTCTCTATCATCAATTTTCTATGATCAATTATATTATAGCGGTGACCAAAAGTTATATTGGTGCAGATACAAACGCCACAGCATTTAAACACAAATAAAACCAGTTATTTCTGAAATAATTTCTATCACACATGAGCGTGATAACCAATTGAATAAGACCTGTTTTCTTATTTTGTACATAAGATTTTTTTTTTTTTTAAATCATTTTTCTTTAGATGTATTCAGCTGATTCAGACTATTTTATAACTTATGTGAACCACGTTAATTTGTACCATACTAATTTTAAAATCTTTACAACAAACTTTATGACGAGTTACAGAACATTCCGTTTTAATCATTGTTCTGAATTTCCTCTGAACCTGTAATAATGATAATTTTTGAAAATGTGTAATTGTTCATGAAACACAATAAAGTTTTTCAAACATAAACTTGTAATTGCGGTGTGCTTTTGCGTGAATACACTAGACAGATAATACTTAAAAGAGTTAATCAACTGAACCACTTATTTCAATTAATATCAGGTAACCTATTAAAAGAAATGAAATCGGTTTAATATTGATATAATTCATATTACAACTTTATAGGAATCCTAATCAGCTCTGTGATACATTGGATCATCATAGTGCACATATATTAGCAATGAGAAGTTCACATAGGGCAAAACAGTCTTGACTGCCCTTTGGCGGGGTAAAAACAGAATAGGACATTTGTAGAACATATAGCACCATTTTAAACAAAATATAACAAAAAAAAAAAAAAAAAACACCAAAAATAAACATATTTGAACCGTTCCATAAATCACTACTAAAGTGACCACAATGTTGGCAAACATGGCATGTACTGCATACGCCACACAGAATCTGAGTAATATCATGGAAACTTGGAGCCTAAAGTGCCTGTTTAGATGTTAAATGAGTCAAGAATGGCTGGTGAGTAGAATACATTGCTGATTCTTCACCTCGAAGGGAAGTTTAAAACAGCCACCCCAAAAGACAAGCTGCTGTTAAACATGTTGTGGCCAATGCTCCTGAACTTCAGGAGAAGGGGAAAATGGGTTTATCTGATAATCTGGCAGCAGCAGCTGGATGAACAGTGCTTGTAGGGATAACCAAAATATTTATTTTTGGGAATTTACAGTAGGAATTGGGTTCTATACCAAAAGCCTATTTAAACCGTAGCCTATCTCCCAAGAGGTGAAAATCCTACACTACTAGCCAGGTCATAAAAGTTACTCCCCATTGCAAGCTTGGGGGCCCAAAGCACGCTCGTCAGGTGTGAATATCTATTCTCCAGAGCTAAATTTTCACTAACCGATGCATTGGCGAATGTAGACTTTGAACACTGACTTTTATTTGGAAGAGACAAGACATTTAAGTAGTAGAATACTGGGGAATAAGGAAACCGACCACCCAGGTGACAACCAATATGGGAGTGCACCAAGTTCCTCTCTCCTTACTATGCAGGGCCTAAATGTGCCAAAGCCGAGTAGAACTGCGACAGAGGGTATTCAGGCTCCTCTACTCTGTCTGTCCAAGTAGCTTGGCACTCTCAGCCTGCAGTGAGTGGAGGTTGTGGAAGCTTAAAGTCATATCTCTCCACTCACCTCTCATGCTGCACACTGATATACTGTCTACTTCAGTGCCACTCAGCTACACAAAAATTAAGGAGATATTCACAAGGTATGGTAGCATGCGGGGCATGTGGACATACAGAGAATGAGGGTTAGACAGACTGAAAATAGTGAGGTGAATAGTCAAAGAATGAGGGCTGACAAAGAGAGCATAAGGAGTAGACATACTTAGTGGAGTGGGATGGAGCTGGACAAACAGAGAATGTGGGGTGGACCCAGACAGAATGTGAGGGAGTAGACTGAAAAGGGGGTTGGACACAGAATGAGGGATGAACAAGCAGAGAATGGGAAGGACAAACAAAGAATGGGGGTTGGACAGACAGAATGAAAGGTTTGGGGGTTGGACAAACTGAAAATGGGGGAGTGAACAAAGAGAATGGAGAAAGGACAGAATGAAAACGGATGTTGGGCGAACAGGAAGACGGTTGTAAAAACAGAATAAGAGGTATTGGGTAACCATAATTACTACAATGAGCTATGGTGCTTTGTGTGTCAAGTGGTGCCAAATACCCTAGGTATGACTCTGTATTTCAGATTACATTAATAAATCATCCCCAATTAACCTAAGACACATCATTTGTGTCACAAAAAACAATGTTAAGTAGGTTTGTTCAAGATCTGTTATAGAGTCATTAAGTGAGCTTGTATTTATGGTTCAACACTATGATGCTGGACCATCTGTGAGAAGCATATAACCCCCACCTTTTGCAATGCCTAACCCAGGGATAGGCAACCTTGGGCACATTTTGGACTATATTCCCTCTGATGTTTGCCGGAATTTAGCTTGTAAGAAAATTATAGAAAATGTAGTCCCGAATATCTGGAGTGCAGAAGATTGCCTATCCCTGGTCTAGTCCTTAAAGGCAATTTAATTGTATCCTTTCTCTCTGTGTTGCTCACAAGATTATTCAATAAATCTCTAAGCAACTTCCAGAAGGCAAGTTTGAATCATATTGTTCTACCACAATATAATGCAAAAGGGAAATGCTTATTCAAGTCTGCTACTGACAGCTTGCATTGCATTTTATACAGAGACACAGCAAGATAGTTTATTTTAAGGGATGATAATTTACACCATTCAATCATTTTACACAAAAATACTACCGGGCTCTTTTATTTAAAGCAATGGATATTGGTAACTTTGGTAATACAATATTTTCAATATTTATTAGAAGGTTTTTTCTTAGTTTGTAATCAAGTTATATGTATGTAACGAAACTTGCAAACATAAAGTATATTCCAAATTGTTAAAAAAATTATATAAGGCACTCGTTTAGAAAATATACTCAAAACTTCCATATAGATCAGAAGAGAAGTAACTTTATAGAATAAGAAAGTTGGTCCTATTAACCAAACTGTTTACAGAGTATAGTTTCTAAACTCTGCATTCCATGTACCTAAAGTTCTAACATCAATCTTTTCTATAACTGATCCCAGAATCCACTTTTCTTCTCACCAGCAAAAGCAACCCTAGAAAAATCATTTTTGCCACCATTTTAGTCCTGGCAGACATTTTGTTATGGAATATCAATTATAAACTGGCAAAGCATTGTGGGAACTGTTGTACTACAACACGGGTAGGCTTATAGCTCAGTTGGTAAATTTCAGAGCCGGTTTAAAAAAAAAAAAAAAGGCAAGGTCACAGGTTCAAACCAGCTCTTCATCATTCTGAGGTCGATAAATGATTACCATCACTTGGGTAATAACATCTATTATTATTCAGCTGTGGTTAATTCCTAGAGCCAGCGCTGAAAAGTGCTTTGAGTCTCACTGGGAGAAAGGCGCTATATAAATACTAAAAAGTGTCTACTTTTTAACTACATTCATTCTGAGGATGAGGTGGCAAGGAAACTACGATTTTCTTTTCACATTGAATATTGTCATATCATTTTGAATTAATCGGCTATTAAAATATCCCTTGCATCAATTTCAAGTACTCCAGGACATACAAAACACCTCAGACCCTTAAGCACTGAGGAACTATCTTTTCATTGAAAATACAAAATTGCAGTTCTCCTTCCAGTATCCAGTTTTTTCTTCGTTTTGATTAGAAAAGTTCATCATCAGTTTCTGAATATTCATCTGCTCTGGTCAGTTCCTCAAGTTCATGGCCATCCTGCAGTGATAAATGTACACATATGCATGACTTGTGCTTGAAAGGCAAAATATTTCACAGACAAATACAAACATATGGATCTCTACATGATATGGTATGGAACACTTCTCTTCAGTCTTATCTCAACAGAAGCCTACAGGGCATGCTGCCTTTAAAATCACAATGTGTGGTTCATTCATGGTTAGGAATTATTAAAGGGACACAAAGTCACCAGAACAACTGCAGCTTATTGTATTTGTTCTTGTCAGTATAATCATTGCCTTCAGGCATTTTGCAGTAAACACTGTATTTTCAGAGAAAATGCAGTGTTTACATTAGAGCCTAGGGGCAGGCACCTCCCGTGGCCACACCTCAGATGGCTACTTGAGGTGATACCTGGGGCAGTTCTGCACGATGTGCATCACTGCCATTCAATGTCTCCACTATTTACATGAAGACACTAAACTTTCATCATAGACATGTATTGATTCAATTAATTTCTATGAGGTGATGCTGATTGGCCAGGGCTGTGTTTGACTTGTGCTGGCTCTGCCCCTGATCTGCACAGCCAATCTAATGCTTTCCTAGGTGAAAGCAGTGTGATTGGCTCAGAATACCATGTCTGATGATGTCAGCCTAGCAGGCAGATCAAGGGCAGAGCGCCAGCAGCAGCAAACTGCAATAAAGGTAAGATTTACTATATTTAAGTGAGGGCAAGGGGGAGGCCAGGGGAGTTGGATGGTATTTATAACACTATAGGGACACGAATACATGTTTGTGTTGCTGACCCTATAGTGGTCCTTTAATTAAACTCCGAACTGTAGCAAATTAACCCATAAGGACACAACTTCTGGAATAAAAGGGAATCATGACGGAATACTTCCGTCATGTGTCCTTAAGGGGTTAAAATCTAGATTGCAAATTTGAGGCAAAAAATTTCAAACTCTATTTTGTCAAAATATTGACATTTGATTTGACAATTGAATTTGCTACAGTTCAGAGTTTAGTAAATAACCCTGTAAATCTTGAATTGTAAAGAATTGGCAAGAGAAATTTAAATTTTAGATCAATACAGTCGTGAGCACTTTGGCAGTTCTGATATCAGGTGAGTGTGGGCATATCTGACAGCTGGGCTTGTCTATGAGGATATCAGAATTGTGGACCGAATCCCGCCCACAAATGGCAGCACAAAAGCTGATTTAGTGAATCTGTATGGGCTTGTATTTAACCACTATACCCATGTTCTAGTCAGTGAATGTTTGTGTGTGCCCTCTACTGGCCATAATATGTAGTACATTAAATTAGAGACGCATTTTGTGTATTGGGAATTACACTATTTAACACAGTATATAGATGTGGTAGCCCAGTTAGCCAATTGTTACACATCACCTTTTCTGCCTATCTGTTTAAAGGAACAATTTCTCTGGGAAAGGCTTTCTATACTAGTATCTGTGTATTGATTGACTGTAGGGGCTGTGGATTTATTTGCATAATTCTCTATTTTGTGAATATTACCTCTTCTTCTACACTAATTTTGTAACTCATTGCTTGGAAATCTATAAATTAAACAAGGGATTTTTAAAATGGGATCTAACTACTCAGGTGTAAATGTGCAGTAATTTTATTTTACTTCTAACTTTCCTCTTTGACAATTATTAGGGATTACCCTTCATTTTTCAGTGGTGGTTTTTGTAATTGTGTGTTTGTTGATTACAGTGAATTTCAAATTTAAGGCCAAAATAAGTGAACTGGAAACATTCTCCAAGTCATCTATGCTTGCAGTTTAGCTACTTTGGTCTTAAATGTGAAAATCTCTGAATAACCATGTAAGTTAGGCTTCCCCAAACGCCGGCCCTCCAGATGTTGCTGAACTACAATGATTCTATGAATAAAATAGATAGGCTTAGAATCATGGGAGCTGTAGTTCAGCAACATCTGGAGGGCCGAAGTTTGGGGAAGCCTGATGTAAGTGATAAAAGCTGAGTCTTTAATTTTTCTTCTTGATCTCATTCTGTAGAAGTCCTGCAAGTTCTCAAAAACATTTAAACATATCAAAAAGGTGTATTTATGGTATCAATATGCAGATGCACACAAGGTGATTAAAAGTCAGTCCTATAGTATTTTTAGTATAATAACTGTAGTCAATATAAGGAATGTTAAAGTGCTACCCTCGAGATGAAAAGAGAAGCAATACTTACTCCTCTTTGACGCTCCCACACTTTGCCATTCACAGTTTTTAGTTTTTCTCTGGTAGGGCTTTGAGATTCCGAGAGTCTACTAGCATTATAAATAAAGATGGAGAGAATAACAACAGGAGCTTCAAAAAAGAATTCCATGGAAGGCTTGAAATTGAACACAAAGAATGAGACAAACGTAATGATCACCGTCGTTAGCTGTGCAGTAAGGACGTGAAACATGTTGTCTCTGAATTTTAATATAAAGGCCACTGAAAGTCCAACAAAAGCAGTGGCAAAAATAAGAGCAATAGAAAACCCATTATGGCCATAGAAAAATCCACAGGACTTAATCTTACTCAAGTGTTCTTTTTGCAGAACCAGAGTGAGGCCATTGAACACAACGCCAAAGACATAAAGTTTGCTGTTTTGAACAAAAATGCTTTCAGAAACCTGGTCTCCTTCCTTCAGAATTTTCTCATTGTAGATATTTGCCAAAGCAGAAATAACACATTGTAGAAGAATCAAAAGGTGACCGAGGCTAATGGGAAAATATTTCAAGGTAGTGATATAGTTGAGTGATGTGCTTTGAGAGTCTTTGTCTTCAGTCTCTGACTTTGACAAATATACACAGCTATTGGATGGGGTGGAGTGAAATATATGATGGACTCCATGGACCGATACCTCGCTATTGGTTCCACTTTGATAATTGAGTCCCATTATAGAGAGGAATAGAATCAGAAGAGATGCCCACTGCACATATGAAAGATGGCGTCTGTGAATAAGAAGTGTGCCAAAAAAGAAGTCATTAAAATGATCAAAAACAAGTCCCACAAATAACATTGCATTATAAAAGGATAAGAAGAAAAATACATATGCACAACAAAACCATTTAAAATATGTACATTGTATTTTAAACAACTGGATTAATCTAACCTGCCATACTATTCCTTTGCTTCAATGATTCCATGCTTTCTACATGGATTGGCCCGGGCCAGCATCCCATAAGGCAAAGAATACAAATATATTCTTCCAAAATGTAGGGGGTGTTTTATTAACACTTCTAAACTTTTGAGTATGCCCACATTAATTAAAGAGACACTATAGTCACCAGAACAACTACAGCTTAATGTAATTGTTCTGGTGAGTATAATATCTCCCTGCAGGCATTTTCATGTAAACACTGCCTTTTCAGAGAAAAGGCAGTGTTTACATTGCTCCTAGGGACAGCTCCAAGTGCCGCTCTGCATGGAGACGCTGAATTTTCCCTATCGAGATGCATTGATTCAATGCATCTCTATGAGGAAGTCCTGATTGGCCAAAACAGCATCTGGCCCCGCCCCATGCCGATTTTAGACTGGCTAAAAATGGGCCATTTCGATGATGTCACAAAGGGGGCGGAGCTGGACATAAGGTGAGTTTTAAACCTTTATAGGGGGACTAAGGGGGGAGAGCCTCCTAAATGGCGAGTTTAGCACAATAGGGTTAGAAATACATGTTTGTGTTCCTGACCCTACAGTGATCCTTTAATGTTAATTGATGGCCATTTTGGAATCCATGTAACCAATGATAATGTGTAATGTAACCACTGCACATTGAACCAATTATGGCGGCTTCTATAGTGGGTGGGGAAGAGAAGTACCTATGTTGTTGATTTGTTATTAACAGCCCAACTTCACATCAGAACCAAATTATTTTGATCTGATAATTTGGAATTCCAATTACTAGCTGTATTGAACTTAGGTCAAATAACATGATTTTTGCAGTGTGGGTTTTACATGTACATAGTTTTAATATTTTGTCTTATCAGTTATTACAGATATTTCCAGGAATTACCACATAAGAATGTGCAGCATTCAGCATGTAACATTAATCAGACTGACTAACCCAGTTTACAGTTCTCACTGTGAACTATATTTCTGAGTGAGATAACATCCTAAAAAAAAGCCAAAAGTCAACCTTTGTTAATTTTGGCATGTTGGATTTGATCTGTTTAAAATCAGCAGTTGATTAAAGGGGAACTGTCACTTCTCTGAAATGCACACCATTGAATAGAACAGGCATAGGCAACCTTCAGCACTGCAGATGTGTGTAAGAGCATTATGGGGGATGTAGTCCACAACATTTGGAGTGCCAAAGGTTGCCTATCCCAGGAATAGAACATTGCAAATCACTAATAACGTGAAAGTAGCTTTTTTTCAGGAGACAATTTGTTTTCTTTTAAATTTATTTGAAAGATTTATCAAAATACATCTCAATCCACTTCAGACAAGGCAAAGCCAGGGCAAACATTGCAAATAAGGAAGGGGAAATAGAAACATGGTTTAAATTCTCCTCTTTCTATGTATGTTTTCTCTAATCTGAGAAAAGTACAGCACTTAGAACAACGACTGACTGGGAGACAAGATAAGTAAACAGAGAACTAAAAATCCTGTGATGTGACTGTTTCCATATAAGTTTGAAATATGTGATACCATTCAGAATCTCTGATGTAATATATATTGTGTTGTGCACTTGTTTACAACTATATAAATTTAGACTTAAAAAAAAAAAAAACACCCCCCAAAAATAACAAAAACTGTACTGAGTCAAGCAACTACCACTATGCATCTTGTATAAACATATATATGAACTAATGTTGCCGCCTTATTAACATTTGGGCAAAATTCTGTTTGCATACAGAGATCTGCGGGATAAACACTGATAGAAAAACAAAACATAAGATGCAAATATTTTATTTATTATTTTTTTTACCTATTCTGCTTAATTTATTGTTTAATTAGCTAAGCCATATTCTTGCCAACTTGGATTCCACAGTTGTTGGATGCCACCACAGACAATAGGAAAACATATATGATATCAGATAGACAGACAGACATGCATGAATATTCATCACGACTTACTTTAAAATTAACCTGAAGAAAATTGCAGTTGTGATGATAACAAAATTGGAAAGCAATACAGCCATAGCCTAAAATACAAACAAAAAAAAGTCATATACGTTGGTTACAACAAATGGACACAAACTCAGTTTTCCATTGAAATTGATGTACAAATGGGTTTACTACATGATAATGTGTTTTTTTCCGACTAAACAATAAGACTATGCTATGCTATGGTTAATGCAAATGAGCCAGCAGAGGTTTGAGTGTCATAATGAGAAATCACTCCTCTAGCCAATAAATAGGGAATCCCAAACTTAGGGTATGCAGAGACCCTTGGGTTTTCAGACATCACCATAGGAGGAAATCAGGTCACTTTCCTAATGAACATTAAAATGTGGCTATAATCAACATACAGAAAGAATACAACATACAGAGAAGCAGAGTATTGCTCTAACAGTTGATAAAGAATTCCCTCCATGTTTAGCTAAGGGCTAATGTGTAAACTGTGCACAATATAACAGAACATTACTGTAACATGTAATCAATTTTCCTTTGATTCTAGGTTCAGAAAACTATATTTTACATGCTTTTTGAAGTTATAGCACCTAACACTATGACTAGGATAGGGCAGAAAAAGTTACCAAAAATGTTATGATGCTGGTGCCCAGGAGTAGTGTGAGTTTAAGCATAAGACTTAATTTTGTATATTTAAGTGTTCTTGCATAGCAAGACCACTTAATGTTATCTCACATATATATTATTCTTATTATAGCCAAATTTGCCACCCTAACTCCTCCCACAGTTTTTACACTACATAGACAGAAATATACCGAAACGTGCGGATTGTTATTACTTTGTGGAGCGTTTCGCCGAATGGTTCACGGAATATTGTTGTTCTTGTGGCGAAACTGGTCCCATAGGAATGAATGGCAAAATGTTCAAAACTAGAGTGGGAGCTGAAAAATCAGGACATGATTTCTAAACTGCCACCACTCCCTCATTTTCAAACCCACCTACAGAAATCTTATATCAAAACGTTCAGCAATCACTGCTGCCACTAAAAATGTCCACGGCTAAGCCATAGTCCTGATAATTTTCACAATATGACCATTTGTTTGCAACCAACGCCGTCCATTGACATTCATTGAAACTGCACTCTAGCCAGCTCACATTTGAAGGGCAATTTCTAAACCGCGACTGTGCCTTCATTTGTAATACTTCAGAGACATACTATGCATCAGATGTAGGTCTGGGTCTTGTGATTCTCACAATATAAAGCTCTTCACTGTAGGATTTATAGTTTTTAAAATACGACCGTTTGAAGATGGCAACCGCCAAAATACTCTGACCTGTGCCAGGCTGCAGCAGCAAGTGATGTCATAGACAGGGCCTTTTGAACACCTGCTAATGTTTTTATAAATGTATGGTTTAATGTAACTGTGCAACAACGTTGCAATTAAATGTGCTATATAAATGATAACAGTTACTCCGCCCACTCCAGTTGTAGACTACTGGTGGCGGCAAGAACACTTCACACAGAGGTCTGCCCACTGGAAGCAGGATCCTGATCTTAGGTCCAGGGTGGGTGGACGACAGCGAGACCCCAACCAAGCTGCAACGCTGGAAGTGGGGACTACAGTGCTGATGGTGTCTGGTGCGGTGCTTGTGGTACTAGGTAAGCACTAAAGAACCAGCGATTGTCAGGCGCACCCGGTCAGGGTGCCAGGCGGTCTGCCATAGAGTGACACTAAAAAACCTCCAGTGATTTAAATGTGCATAGGGATTTGGGATTTTTATTGTATGTATTGGGGCTGATGTGTATTATAGTCATTGCTGCTGCCAAAGAGTAGTGGGAGTTTGAGCGGAGGACTTAATTTTGTATGTTCAAAAATGTTATGTGTCCTAAGCATGCAACCAGAAAAACTGCTGTGTAATGCAAAAACCTCAAGGTATGGATTTAGTTTAATGCCTTAAAGGGATTCTCCAGTGCCAGGAAAACATTAGTTTTCATGGCACTGCAGGACCCTGTAGTGCCCCTCTCCCTCCCAAATTGCTGAAGGGGTTAAAACCCCTTCAGTGACTTACTGGAGTCCAGCGCCGATTCCCTCGGTGCTGGTCAGGCTCCGCCTAGTCTCCTCCCCCGCCGACGTCAGCAGGTGGGGGACACCTAATGCGCATGCTCAGCAATGGCTGCGGAGGCGCATTAGAACACCCCATAGGAAAGCAGGTCCTCACATAGCGTGAGGATGTCTAGCGTTGCTTAAAACACTTTTCGTGTTCTAAGAACACGGAAGTTCCTCTAGTGGCTGTCTGATAGACAGCCACTTGAGGAGGACTTAACCATGCAAGGTAAATATTGCAGTTTATGAAAACTGCAATAATTACACTTGCAGGGTTAAGGGTAGTAGGAGTTGGCACCCAGACCACTCCACTGGGCAGAAGTGGTCTGGGTGCCTGGAGTATCCCTTTAATTTAACAACAATTTATTCAATATGATGAACACATTAAATAGTGAAAATCAAGTTGAAAGGGGACAATAAATAAACAGAACATAAATAAAATATAGCAAACATTGTCCTATCCAGCACGAGCATAAACACTTACAGGTTGCAGGTAGCTCATAACTGAAAAAATTATCAAATTATCCAGAAAATACAGAAATGCTGGAATGGCCCATTTGATGACTTTCCAAAACTCCTTTAAAGAAAGGCACATACTGCATCTCCACGGCCGTTTTTCTGAAAGGGAGAATATTACAAATAGCACAATCACTATACAAGGTATTCTGGGTGATCATTCACCTTCCTATGCTTATAGCAAAGGCATTAATAAACATATACATATAGATCTGTAGATAGATGGGCGACAGTATAAAGATTAGTTGTACCATGCTGTATCTCTCTATTTAACATTAGTAACTACATAAGGAAAATACACAGTTATTTGGTGTGCTTCTCTAATAGGCATTTAATAAGAAAATTGGAAAAATGTGGCTGCTTTCTGTATTGTGTGTATTATAAAATCTATTGCTTAGGCAAGTGGGCTTGTAAATATATATATATATATATATTTATTTATTTTTTTGAAGGGACCCAGACCACTTCAGCTCATTGAAGTGGTCTCGGTGCAGTGCCCCTTTTGCACCTGGTGCTGCATTGGTAAACAATGCAGTGCCACTGAAACTGCAATGTTTACTTTGCAGCACAAAGTCTGCACACAGTGACAGTAGCGTCCGCTCGACGTTTGGAGGGGGCAGAGCTTCGACCCTTGGAAAAAATAAGTAAAAAAATAAATTAAAAAAAAGCGGGGTTAAACGTGAGGGAGGAGGGAAGCAGAGGGAGCGATAGCGCCAGCAATACATATATTGCACCAAAAATAGTAATGAAATGGTCATTCTCATCACAGTGAACACAGCCCCAGAGAAATAGATTAGGAATACAGTCTTAAAGAAACATTCCAACCTCTAAATCACTTCAGCTTACTGAAATGCTTTAGGACTTAACATTATATCACATTTACCATGTTTTATCAATAGAATTTAGTACTTTTATAAACTCCCTTAGTAACACCTCCCGAGTGCCAACTGGACAGCCGGAAGGGTTTGCTTCCTCACTCACTTTAAACACTCATTCAATTCAGAAACCTAAAATGTATTTCTAACGTTGGCATGTTCCTTTAACAAACAGTACTGCACGAACACTCACCTTTTACAATTATCCTGACAGCCATTATCATGCAGAAGATAAGCTTAACAGCTTCAGCACATACATTTACTGTAGCTGGAACATAGTCATATGTATTATCTGTGAATTAATAAAACAAAAGTATAACTTGAAGATTTTAACATGTTTTCTATCTACATCAGTGCTTTAAAAAAACATCAGTAATGTTTTTGACAGCATATTTTAAGATCATACATTGTTTTTCTTAATTATTCATCTATATCAAATGCAAGCGTTTCCATCCATTCATTAGGTTTGTCTGGCTAGTTTGGACTCAATACAGTCGGGGGACTGAATACAGGGCACAGAGTGTAAAAGCATAAGCTGTTCGGAGTTAAAGTGTGCATGCCATAAGTAGCATTACTTGGAATTACTTTATAGAGTATAAAATGTCACCTTCACTGGGGCCAGCCAAATTGAAAACAAGTTCATACATTGAAAATTAAATAGTGGGAGATTTATCAGGGGAAAACAAGTGCTATTTCAGGTATAAAGGGTATGCCCTTTGGCACACTTTGACACGGACGGCAAATTTCCGCCCCTGTGTCTTATGTAAAGGGCCCAGGCCGCTTACCGGAGTCTTCACATTTGTTCCATCTCCAGCAGCAGCAGGTCCTCTATTCTCGCAATCTGCAAGAGCATTGCTACAGGTTGCTATGGCAATGCGCCGCTCCGCATGCAATGCAAGCTGGAGTGTTGCGATGACAACCTGCGGATCACGAGAACAGAGGACCTGCTGCTGCTGGAGGTGGAACGAACTTGGAGACTTCTGGGCCCCTCTTCATTGGACAACCATAGAATTTAGTGTACTGCCCTCCCTGGACACAGATAAGAGTCCGGGAGGAGGGAACACACTGCTCACCCCCAGCACTTGTCCCACACAATACACACACACACAAACACACTGCATCCACTATACACACACTGCGTCAACTATACTGCATATACTATATACACACACACACACACTGCATATACTATACACACACGCTGCATACACTATACAGCATATACTATACACACACACTGCATCCACTACACACACAAACTGTATACACTGCCTTCCCTACACATACACACTGCATACACTACACCAGGGGTAGTCAACCTTTTAATAATACTGCCCACTCTTGTATCTTTGTTAATGGTAAAATTTCCTTAATGCCCACCAGTGCCGCAATAACTAATTTTATAGCGCAAATGCGATTTTTTTTCTTTCTTAGAAAGTCTTTTTTTTTTTTTTAAATATGTACTTAAATGTATATTTTTTTTCCCTTTTTTCTATTCTACTTTCTTTTTCTATGTTTGTCTGTGAGGTGCTGTGTGTGTGTGAGAGAAGGGCAGTGCGTGTGTGAGAAGGGCAGTGCGTGTGTGAAGGGGGCCGTGCGTGTAAGGGGGCAGTCTGTGTTTGTGCTTCGGTCCACGGCCATCGAGGCCTACTTGGTGATTTCTGCAGAACCCACTACCGGCCACCTGAAATCCCCAAACGCCCGCTAGTAGGCGGAATGGACTAGGTTGACTACCCTTACACTACACGCACACTGAATACACTACGCAAACACGCAAACATGCACACTGCATACACTACACAAACACACACAGCATAGAAAATTGTATTTAAACTCCCACTGTTTTGGTGCTACCATTCACCATTCCACAGAGAGATTGAGAGTGCTGCCAAAAAGATATATAAAATATGGGCACTTACCCCATTAAAACAAACTTCAAGGGGGTATTTCATACATAAAAATACAGAAGAAAACACAATAGAGTAATAACGTATGGGTGGATAATTTGAATTTAACATTTTAAATGCAAGCTCACATGGTATAGAGCCTTTTCAAGGTATAGGCTCTAAACAGTAGGTGTTCGTGCACTTAATAAGGTGGCAACTTGACCTTTGGAATTCCAATCTCACTTGGTACGTCTCAGATTTTCATATATATAGGAGATATCAGAAGAAAGGGAGAAAAACTAGGAGCAGTGTAATAAATATATTTTAGATATATATTTATAAAAAAAATAAATAAAAAAAAAAAAGCCTTGCACTCCTACTTACAAAAATGTAGAACCCGGTGCTACATTGCACTAGACATGCAGAACAGAAATAAAATCATCACTCCCAGGATTTTTAAATAAAGCTTCTTTCTACTCCAAAATATCAGCGTTTCAGTTCCTACCATGAACTTTTATCAGGATAACAAACATGGTACATGGTACGTCCCTAGGTAGCTTAATTCAAAGCTCCTACATCCAGTTCACAAATTTAGTGGGTGATGTGAGGATATTTATGGGGTGATAAATATTAAAATAATATTTTCATAAAAATCTAAAATTGGGGGCGGAGCCTGACTGCCGAGCGGACCAGACGAGCTCCTCATGAGCTCCCGAGTCTGGTGCCGAAAATCAGGGTACACTGCCTGACAGTCCGTTCCTGTGGACTGGAACTTCCCTAAATCTTGATCGGAGGAGGTTACTGAACCCAGAGATACCCGGCACGGGCCACCTGAACCTGTGACCACGCACGGGAGGCTTGCGGCCTAGACGAGCTTGGGCCTAGGAGAGGTGGCCGCTCTCCTGGCCCTAACACGGACAGAGTACCCAGAGTACTGCCTCCCCCCCCCGGACCGGTGGGGGTAATCCAAGTCCCTACTGCAGGCCCCCACTTGCCTCTGTCACATCCAGACGACGGCCAACGCGGGGGTCAAGACCGCCACAATCCCATTCAACACGATGAGCGGGCCTTCCTCGGCCAAGCAACGGATAGCACCAGCTGTACCGAGCCCACAAGTCACCTTGGAGCAACGCCTGGACGAGCTCTTTAACCGCTTCTGGGTGAAACTGGAAGCACGGACCGGGAGGGCACCGGCTCAGGGTGAGGCGGAAGCGCGAAGAGGAGACGGGCATAAGGCGCATATAACCCTCAAGCACACAAGCATCCAAAATGCCACTGCACCTTGTAAGCAAGGTCCACCTAGACCTAGGCTCCTCACCTGAGGAGCTCACCCGCCACATAGAGCGGAAAAGCAGAAGACTCCTTGCCACAAACAGCACCAAACTCCCAGGAGACCCGGTCACGCCACCTCTAGAAAGGATCCTGTCACAAGCCCTCAAGTCGGCGGTGTCATCAGGTGGGCCCAAAACAAGGCCTGGGGCTGGAAAGAGACCATACCAGGCCCCCGCCCAGCAACACCTCAGGACTACACTCACTTGTTTCCAAGTCTTGGCGTAGGCTGAGCGAGAGCTCCTGGGACTAGGAGTGACAACACGTTGCCTGCCATAGAGACACCCTACCAACAAGACTCCTGTCTTAATATTGAGACTCTCGTTTCCCATCCTCGGGCATAAGCTGAAGCAGGCTCGCTACCTAACGCAGTGTCACCCTTATGGGACTAACCACAAACAGCAGCTGTTAATGAGGGGACCTCTATACCTAACCCATACATATCAGCCTAATTGTACCCCCTGTATGCATGCACACTGCGACTGTTTGATCTTTATGTTTTTATTGTTTCGTATTTTCTATGCTTTCTAGGTGCCTCACATACTCTAATGCTGTATAGATACAAAGCCAGTGGTCTTTACCTTCACAAAATTAACCTGTCGATAACTATCAAAGGCTCAGAGTTTAGACATATATGCAATCTTGAGAATATCTCTACATAATTCCATGCCCATCTCTATATATACTTAGAAATTAGGCAGCTCATTAGTGTGAAGGATTTCATGCAAACAACATAACCGAGCTGAACGTTACTATATACCTTTAAAAGTGCCACTCTTGATCGCTTGACAAAAAATGTGTGCAGTTATGTGGATATGCCTATTATGTAAATCTTAGCCAGTTAGGCAAAGTCTAATTGTTTCTAATCACCACTATGCACGTTGGAATCATGGTATGATTCTTGCCTTAAGCTTGTCAACCCCATCACGACCAACACAATAGACGTGCAAAGCTAACCTGTACTTAATATGTTTATAAACTTAAAAACGTTTCTAGCTTGTTTTATCTAAAAAAAAAAAAAAGTGCTATTTATCTCTGCCATGACCATGTATGCCATTGAAACGCCTGAAACCGCTGCTCTGTTCTGTAATCCAATGCACAAGAAAAATAAAGAATTTAAAAAAATTTTAAAAAAAAATTTAAATAAAAAAATCACAAATTAATGTAATAATTTTTATTACATCAAAATGTATATCTTGGCACTGTATCCCGGAAATGATAATATAAAGCTGAGAATTACCCACGATTTTTAATTCTCTTAAATTCTAGAGGCCATTCATTAGAGGATTTTTACTTCACACAGTGATCACAATTTGATTATAAAAATATAATTTATTGTGACAATAATAATAAAATAATAATAATATGTAACATGCGTGACAATCAGTGAATATTTAGGCATACGATATGGCAATGGTTTAAACACAATACAGCGGCTAAAACAACCAGTTGTCAAGAACTTAACAAGATTTATGATAGGGTACTTCACACAGAACACACAACACAGCCTAAAGCAATAAAACTTCAGCTAGCAGTTAGATCACACTGAGTGGCTACAATCCTCCTAGGCAAGATATCCTATTCTGTTGCAATTTTTTTTTCAATTAAAGCAATGCTCATACCAGATCATTAACCATTCCTGGACCATCAAATAAGAATAAATCTACCAGATTTTACATTTGCCGAATTTCAACTTTCCTAAATAAGATTCACTTACAGCTTAATGAAGTGGTCTGGGTGCCAGGTCCATCTAGGTTTAACCCTTTCTTCTATAAACATAGCAGTTTCATGTTTATAATAGGGTTAATCCAGCCTCTAGTGGCTGTCTCATTGACAGCCGCTAGAGGCGATTCTCACTGTGATTTTCACAGTCAGAAGACGCCAGCATCCATAGGAAAGCAAAATTCGCATCCAGCGTGCTGAACCTGCATAGGAAAGCATTGAGAATGCTTTCCTATAGACTGGCTGAATGTGTGCGCAAAAATAAATAAAAAATATTGCAGCGCCGTAAGAAAGCCAGTAAATCATCAATCTATTCCATACATTACTGTAAAGGTGATAAAGAACCCTGAGTATAATCTCATCTCTGAGAATGGCATAGAAGAACTGCAGAGATTTGGGGAGAAATATGCAAACACATTGGGCTGTGTTCTCTCCCAGGAGAGCCAAGCAGCACACAAAGAATAGTTAATTACATGGTGCTGCTTTATGCAATGCACATAGCACGATTAATTAAATGGTGCTGCTGCATGCAGCACACACAGCATGGTTCACTAAACGATACTGCTGTGTGCAGCGCACATAGCACGGTTCACTAAACGATACTGCTGTATGCAGCGCACATAGCACGGTTCACTAAACGATACTGCTGTATGCAGCGCACATAGCACGGTTCATTAAACAATGCTGCTGTATGCAGCGCACATAGCACGGTTCATTAAACGCTGCTGCTGTATGCAGCGCACATAACATGGTTCATTAAACGCTGCTGTATGCAGCGCACTTAATTAAATGGTGCTGCTGCATGCAGCGCACACAGCATGGTTCACTAAACGATACTGCTGTATGCAGCGCACATAGCACGGTTCACTAAACGATACTGCTGTATGCAGCGCACATAGCACGGTGCTGCATGCAGCGCACATAACATGGTTCATTAAACGCTGCTGTATGCAGCGCACTTAGCATGGTTCACTAAACATTGCTGCTGTATGCAGCGCACATAGCATGGTTCATTAAACGTTGCTTCTGTATGCTGCACACATAGCACGGTTCATTAAACAATGCTGCTGTATGCAGCGCACATAGCACGGTTCATTAAACAATGCTGCTGCATGCAGCGCACATAGCACGGTTCATTAAACAATGCTGCTGCATGCAGCGCACATAGCACGGTTCAATAAACACTGCTGTATGGATGCTATTAATTTAAAAAGCATTTCAGTTTATCTAAAGTGATTAGTAAAGCTGTTCTTAGCATTACTGCTCTTGGCAAATTATCACTGTCCTGGTTGAACAAAACTGACACAGGTAAGGTGTACGTGTAAATTCAGCATTTCCTAGTTGGCTAGGGAGGGGTAATTTACAGGTGTCAGGAAGAACCCCAGTGTAATATATCACACAATGCTAAGTCACACTGATGCCTTTTTTTTGGATGGTGTGGGGTATAATTATGCACCATTACCACAAAAATAAAAAAAAGAAAGAATAGCTAAAGAACAGAAAAATAAAATCAAACCTTCATTAGCAGAAAATTTCACAAGCAGCACCCGACTTGAGCCAAGGCCCACAAAGGTAAATCCAAGTAGGAATGTATGCAGCAAGGATTTGGAGAGCCATGTTGAGTTCTTAGTGAGCTTGCACCTCATGTTGCTGGCCATGTAAACTGTAATTTACTGTATTTTAAATACATTTTAAAAAACAAAATTACAAAAAATAAATCACAACATTTTTATCACTTCAAAACTGCCATAATTTAATACCGCTCTACTAACGTTTGTGGATATATGGAAAATAAACTATATAGTAATTTGTTTAACACAAATAAACAAGATGTCATTCTAATTATTATTTAGCAGTAAAGCCAAATTTATTAAAGAATAGTAAAGGAGCACTCCAAGCACCGTAACCACTACAACTCATTGTAGTAGTTTGGACGCAAGGAGTGCCCTGGCGCCCCCACACTGTAAGTAGTCAAACTGTTTTTGAATGGTCTGACTTATAACCCGGGGTAAGAGCTGGATGCACGTAAGCAGGAGTAACATCTGTTAGCTTTTATGAGCCAAGCCACGCAGTGCAGTTTCTTTGTGGCCCAGTGGCTGCACATAGCGGTTTGCATCTTCTATGGGAGCAAACCCTATTTGCCTCTGTCTACACTCTGGCGCTCTTCGGGAGGTTTATAAGCCTCTGCCCTCACTTGTCGTGATGCATGTTGGGAACAGCACTGCCTTGGAATCTGTGACGCCTGAGAAGTTTGGCCTCGGAAATGGGGTGACATTCACATGGGTACTGGGACTGGTGCCCAAGGCAGCTGCCACTTTGTTCAAAGATAGAGTTAATTGAATTAAACCTCCTGTTCTATTTGATCAATTTTGTTGATTTCTGTTGTTGTTATATTTTTATCTATTAATTAACATTACATGTAAACAAATAGTGTTGACCCCAAGAAGTCCATGTTTTCCAGCAAGGAAATGAAGAAGATTGTTATGTAAGCTTTCATATGGCAAAAGATAACACAATAAGCCAACCCATCAAAATATATATATATATATGTAGAGATTGTAGCTGTATTAGTCCAGTGATGTAGATGTAAAAAATAGATAAAATGTGTATCTTGTAACCTTTTTTTTATTGGACTAACAGAATTTTTGACAAGTTTTTGGAAGAACCTCCCTTTCTCAAGGCCAAAGAATTTCTGACTAGATACGAATTTTATCTGTTTTTTTTAAATACATATATTGAAAATCTTTATAAAACAAACTGATGTATGTATCCAAATAATAGCAGTATCTTCTCATGCTAGTCACATGGCAATGTGAAAAACAGAATTAAACAGTATAACCCATAGATCAGTTTATCAGTTCCAGAACATTCAATAGGAACAAATATACAACATTATCAGTCATGTGAATAACTCAGCCCTGAGCATGTCACACCAACATGTGTGTGTTTGGCTTACCTTCTGATAGCACATACTGTCATGGGTACTATTGAATTTCACATCTATGGTTAAATTCCCAGCGTTCTTAAAAACACAAAAAAGAAAAAAAAGAATATCAGGGTCAATGCAGGTGAACAGGTTTTGCATGTAGGAACAAAAGTGACAATTTAGTTAAAAATAAACGTTTAAAATGTTCTTCTATATAAAGGTGTAGCATACAGCAACATAGCAATGATAACTGTCCATGTTACAACTCCCAGCATAGGCAGCAGAAATAGTTACCGTACTGGTAGATTATTGTACCTTTTTATTAGACAGTGATCCATGGAGCTCTAAACAAACAGTAGACATTCCATGACCTGCTAAGGATACAAAATTAATATACTTAAAATAATCAGAGGACTCACCTTTGCTTCTAACTAGGAACTACCATAACAATGACTACTGTATGCTACTATATCCTCCATCAGCAGGCTATGTGCACACACAATTTGCACTTTACATAGAGTGCATCCACACAACTACTTGCAAAGAAATACAAAGAAGTTTTTGAACATGAAAATGAATATTTGTGCATGAATAGCATAAATTCCCTGCTTGTCATGCGACTTAACCTGTCTTACAATATGGCAGATTTGTTTTCTACTTTGGATTTGACATATGGGAGGCACATTGATGACTAGGTAGTACTCTTGAGATAAAAGCTTTGTGAAGGTATGTCTATAATTGTCTTAAAACAACTCTAAATATATAATGGGAGTAAAATAAAAAACAGGAAAAACAAGAAGTTATTTTGTGTATGTCCAGAGTCTCCCTAACATAAGGTTAGTTGTGGAGTGGTTTCCAAAGAATAACTGGTTAGAAAACTTCATACAGAATACAAAATAAGTGTTTCAAGAATCACATAAAAACGCAGGCACTTGTAGAATCATCTCTGGCACAAACCAAACCAATGAATTTATATACCAGTTTGGTAATCTGAGTTCAAATAAATCAGCATTTAACAGAATGTCTACTAAGTAAAACTGTGTTGGCATTGATTCTACGGTCCTTAAAAATTTGCCTAATTTACAGCCATGTTACCAGAAAATTTGACTAGACCTGTTCACCACTGGGAACAACCAACTATATGAAATGAGGAGTATGAAACATACACCAGGTTTAACAGGATAAACTTCAGAATGTGTTTAGCCCTAAAAATGCACATTAAATTAGCTTTAAATGCACATAATTCTTCTGTACATTCCGGTACCAGTAACAATTAGCACTGACAATCAGACATTTATAGACTGTGTGTGTATACTTTACATAGGACACAGATCATTTCTATATAGCAGGGTTCCCCAGACGCTGGCCCTTCAGATGTTGCTGAATTACAACTCCCATGATTCTCGGGTTATCTATTTCACTGAAAGAATCATGAGAGTTGTAGTTCAGCAACATCTTGAGGAACAGAGTTGGGTGAACCCTGCTATAGAGGATCAGTATGTCATTACTGCAAATATTTATCACTATCATGCTATCACAAAATGTATGAAAAAATAAAATAAAGGGAAGGTGTAAACACACTTGGTGCTAATTCTGCAAACCTGCTGTAAGGCACTTTGCCTCTCAGACAAGCCAGTCCTGAAGCTGTGACACGTGTGAATAACAGGCATAAAATCTGCAGCCTGTGCACATAACTTCAGTTATTTCAGTGGGCATCATGGCTGTAAGCTATTTTGGGTGCAAAGCATAAAGTGAAAACATGCAGCTTACCTCGTGGCTCAATAAGTCAGAGTGCCAGTGAATGATACATCACCACTTGTTTTGTCAATAATCCACTGCACACCTCTCCTAAAACAACCTTACCTATACATCTCCTCGCTTCCGGGTTAGTGGGTGGCACGTCATGCGTTCCAAGCCTCCTCTTCGCGTGCAAAGTGCTTTGAATAAATAATTTAAAAAGGAAATATTTGTTCCACCAATAGGGGTAGTAGTAACTCCAGCTGTAACCCCATGGTCCTTGTTTATTATAAATCACAGTTATAACAGTTATTGTACATGATGATACCAGCCCAGATTTTTACGTTTATATTAAAGGGACACAGAGTGGCAGTGTACCTGCTCCAGCTCATTGCAGTGACTACAGTGCATGCCTTGCAACATTTCAATAACCAAACAGAGTCACTTTATGGCTGGAGTGGGGGGGGTGACCAGGGGAGAGGCTGATCTGAGAAATTGTAGGTGACTCACTAATAACAATAAATGTTTACACATTCTGATTTCTAAACACATTTACTGTACCTTAAAGGGTTACTACAATTACCATGACCACTTCTGCTTTTAAAAGTGGTCATGATGGTAGGAGTCTATATGTGCAGTGTTCCAGGTTGAAACACTGCACATCCAGAGATATTTGAAATTTTGTGCAGGGGTCTAGTTACACCCCCTGCACACATGACATAGGAAGCCAGGACCTCAATTTGCATGCAGATATTACATTATGTTTTATAATATATTCACAAACAGGAATATAATACTAATGCATTAATAGACATGTATACATGCATAATACACTCCGAAATCACATAACTAAATATAAAATGTAAAAATGTGCATGTGCGTGCTCTGAGGCGGCATGAGGAGGGAGACAGGGAATGAGTGTAAAAAAATAAATTAAGGGTATAGGTAGGTGGGAGTAGGGCCACCATCAGGGGGCACCACCGATACAGCTCTACTGGGCTTGGGCTTCCTGGCAGTGCCGGGACCTATAACCCAATGCACACACATATATATATATATATATATATATATATATGTATACCCCTGAAGGCTCCCACTGTGGTATAGTGAAGAGCAAACCTAGGAGACTCCAAGTTCCACCTCCGATAGTGTTCTCTCCGCTACACACATACTCTGCATCCATAACACACTACAGACTGCAGTCACTACAAACACTCTGCATGCCATTTACACAGAAACACATACATAGTGCATTCACTTAACAAACACACACAAACTGCATCCACTATACCCACACTGCATCCACTTTCCTTACACACACTCTCTGCATTCACACTCTGAATGCACTGTACACACACACACACACACACACTTTGCATCGACTATACAGACACACTGCATCCACTATCAACCACTGCATCCACTGTTCTCATCCTTGTGAGCAGACTCAGGGGTGGACCCGTGGGAGGACTCATGTCAGCTCTGGGCACGAGGGCTGTAGTGAAGGAGGGAGGGGAGACACGTGCCTAAATCATTGAAAATCTGTCGCAAGCATGCAGTGCGCACTGACAAGAGACATACATTTTGCACAGAACTTACATTTGCCAGTGAGTAACAGAGGTCCTGGCTGCCACTTTTGCTGGGACCGCAACTAGCCCCTGCTCAAAATTGAAAGTGTCTCTGGATGTTCACAAGCAGATTTCTTCCTCCATGACAACTTCAAAAAGCAGAAGTGGTCATGGATGTCACGTTAAAGTGACCCTTCAAGGAAACTGCAAGTTTAACCCCTTAAGGACTGGACTGTTTTTGCGATGTTGTACATTTGCGACCAGGAATATTTTTACACTTTTCTGGTGTTTGTGTTTAGCTGTAATTTTCCGCTCTCTCATTTACTGTTCCCATACAAATTATATATTGTTTTTTTCAGGACAAAAGGGGCTTTCTTTACATACCATTATTTATATAATCTCATGTATTTTAATTTTAAAAAAATAAAAAAATATGATGAAAAATTGAAAAAAATACATGTTTTTTTACTTTTACTTGAAAAATCTTTTACTCATCTACAAAAGCGAATGAAAAAAACAGCTAAATAGATTCAAAATTTTGTCCTGAGTTTAAAAATACCCAGTGTTTACGTGCTTTTTTGCTTTTTTTTGCAAGTTATAGGGCTATAGGTACAAGTAGGATATGGTGGTTTCAAAACAAATTTTTTTAAAATGTATCAATAGTGACATTGTAACACTATTATCTGTCATAAACCTCTGGAAAACACTCCACATGTATATATTTTTTTTAAAGTAGACAACCCAGGGTATTCATCTAAGGATATTTTGACACTTTCTATGCAGCCATTTTACCACAAGTCTTTGCCAAACTTTGCATAGATAGTTGTTTTTTTTGTTTTTTTCACATACATTGCAATTCAGGTATAAACTTACAGATCCTGTTATGTCTTGCTGCCAAAAAAAACACACTAATATATGTTCAGCAATATCTCCCGAGTACAGTGATACCACTCATGCATAGGCTTGTCGGATTGTTTGGGGGCTAAAAGGCCACATTTGGCAGGTGCGCATATCCATTTTTCAACTTGGAATTTTGACATGTAGTCAACCTGCGCACATGTCCTATTTGGGACATTTGTAAGGCCAGCCAATGTATTTTACCCCCACCAAACCATATATTTTTGGAAAGTAGACACCCTAGGGTATTTCAAATGGTGGTTTTTTAACACTTTCCATGCACTAATTCTACCACCAGACTTTGTCAAACATTTAGGTAGTCATTTTTTGTGTGTTTTTTTTCACACACATTGTACTTTAGGCATGAATTAACAAATCGTGTTATGTGTCACTGCCAAACAACACGCCAATATGTGTTCAGCAACATCTCCTGAGTACAGTGATACCACCCATGCATAGGCTTGTCGGATTGTTTGGGGGCTAAAAGGCCACATTTGGCAGGTGCGCATATCCATTTTTCAACTTGGAATTTTGACATGTAGTCAACCTGCGCACATGTCCTATTTGGGACATTTGTAAGGCCGGCCAATGTATTTTACCCCCACCAAACCATATATTTTTGGAAAGTAGACACCCTAGGGTATTTCAAATGGTGGTTTTTTAACACTTTCCATGCACTAATTCTACCACCAGACATTGTCAAACATTTAGGTAGTCATTTTTTGTGTGTTTTTTTTCACACACATTGTACTTTAGGCATGAATTAACAAATCGTGTTATGTGTCACTGCCAAACAACACGCCAATATGTGTTCAGCAACATCTCCTGAGTACAGTGATACCACCCATGCATAGGCTTGTCGGATTGTTTGGGGGCTAAAAGGCCACATTTGGCAGGTGCGCATATCCATTTTTCAACTTGGAATTTTGACATGTAGTCAACCTGCGCACATGTCCTATTTGGGACATTTGTAAGGCCGGCCAATGTATTTTACCCCCACCAAACCATATATTTTTGGAAAGTAGACACCCTAGGGTATTTCAAATGGTGGTTTTTTAACACTTTCCATGCACTAATTCTACCACCAGACTTTGTCAAACATTTAGGTAGTCATTTTTGTGTGTTTTTTTTCACACACATTGTACTTTAGGCATGAATTAACAAATCGTGTTATGTGTCACTGCCAAACAACACGCCAATATGTGTTCAGCAACATCTCCTGAGTACAGTGATACCACCCATGCATAGGCTTGTCGGATTGTTTGGGGGCTAAAAGGCCACATTTGGCAGGTGCGCATATCCATTTTTCAACTTGGAATTTTGACATGTAGTCAACCTGCGCACATGTCCTATTTGGGACATTTGTAAGGCCGGCCAATGTATTTTACCCCCACCAAACCATATATTTTTGGAAAGTAGACACCCTAGGGTATTTCAAATGGTGGTTTTTTAACACTTTCCATGCACTAATTCTACCACCAGACATTGTCAAACATTTAGGTAGTCATTTTTTGTGTGTTTTTTTTCACACACATTGTACTTTAGGCATGAATTAACAAATCGTGTTATGTGTCACTGCCAAACAACACGCCAATATGTGTTCAGCAACATCTCCTGAGTACAGTGATACCACCCATGCATAGGCTTGTCGGATTGTTTGGGGGCTAAAAGGCCACATTTGGCAGGTGCGCATATCCATTTTTCAACTTGGAATTTTGACATGTAGTCAACCTGCGCACATGTCCTATTTGGGACATTTGTAAGGCCGGCCAATGTATTTTACCCCCACCAAACCATATATTTTTGGAAAGTAGACACCCTAGGGTATTTCAAATGGTGGTTTTTTAACACTTTCCATGCACTAATTCTACCACCAGACTTTGTCAAACATTTAGGTAGTCATTTTTTGTGTGTTTTTTTTCACACACATTGTACTTTAGGCATGAATTAACAAATCGTGTTATGTGTCACTGCCAAACAACACGCCAATATGTGTTCAGCAACATCTCCTGAGTACAGTGATACCACCCATGCATAGGCTTGTCGGATTGTTTGGGGGCTAAAAGGCCACATTTGGCAGGTGCGCATATCCATTTTTCAACTTGGAATTTTGACATGTAGTCAACCTGCGCACATGTCCTATTTGGGACATTTGTAAGGCCGGCCAATGTATTTTACCCCCACCAAACCATATATTTTTGGAAAGTAGACACCCTAGGGTATTTCAAATGGTGGTTTTTTAACACTTTCCATGCACTAATTCTACCACCAGACATTGTCAAACATTTAGGTAGTCATTTTTTGTGTGTTTTTTTTCACACACATTGTACTTTAGGCATGAATTAACAAATCGTGTTATGTGTCACTGCCAAACAACACGCCAATATGTGTTCAGCAACATCTCCTGAGTACAGTGATACCACCCATGCATAGGCTTGTCGGATTGTTTGGGGGCTAAAAGGCCACATTTGGCAGGTGCGCATATCCATTTTTCAACTTGGAATTTTGACATGTAGTAAACCAGCGCCCCTGTCCTATTTGGGCCAATGTATTTTACCCCCATCAAACCATATATTTTTGAAAAGTAGACAACTCAGGGTATTTTAAATGGTGGTAGTTTAATACTTTTCATGCAATAATTCTACCACCAGCCTTTGGCAAACTTTTGGGTAGTAATTTTCTTCATGTTTTTTTACACATACATTGTACTTTAGGCATGAATTAACAGATCCTGTTATGTATCACTGCCAAACAACACCCCAATATGTGTTCAGCAACATCTCCTGAGTACAGTGACATCACCCATGCATAGGTTTGCTGGGTTGTTTGGGGGCTAAAAGGCCACATTCAAGACTTGTACATATCAGTTTTTCAACTTGATATATAGGTATGCTTGGCCTATCTTCAGTTTGGCATATTTTTGCATCCCCCCGTTAATGTTAACATCATGAAAGTTTATATTTTTATAAAGTAGACATTCCAGAGTATTGTATATGAGGTGTTTTCACATCCTTCCCCCAACCATTGTGCTAAACAAATTTCAGAGAACGTGCATGGTGGTAATTTTTTAATTCTGCTTTTTATGCACACGTCATCTGGTTTTGGCCAGCCAGTTATATGTTACTACCATAAAACTTTTTTAACCAAATGTGCAGGTATCAAATGCACCTTTAGCAGCATTCTCTAAACTAACTCCTGCAAAAAGAATCTAATTGGAGATTTGGGGGGAAGGAAACTGACTAACTAAAATTTGCTGCTTTCAAAAGAAAAAAAAACAGTGCAAAGGGGTGTCTGTCCTTTTCCTTTTTTTATAACAGACCCAGCAACATTTCAGGGGATTTGTTTTTTTTTTTGCAGTTGGCGGTATCTTAAAAATAAAATGTCTGGACTCCTTTGGCACCGTTGTTGGAACTTGACCATCTCCATAAATTATTGTGGAAATCAGCTTGAACTAAAATTGGAGAAAGGTGGTTCTTTCTGGATTCATTTTTTTTTAAAGAGTAAAAATTAATTATGTGTTGCTACTTGCATCAGGTAGATAGCCACCTTTTTATACCAGGCTTTTGTCTTTCTTAAGATAAGATATGGCTGCATCAGCTGATCAGCCAAATCAACACCCCCCATGTGCCTGTTATAAGCCCTGATGCACACCGGTTTTGTCTGTACCCTGCCTCGGACAGTGACGTCTGACATGCCCTCGTTATGGATGGTTGTTAGCATGTGAACATCCTTCCTGTCCTTAAATTTTATTGCAAGCACTTTAGCTTTGTGCAGACCTTTACATTCACTTTTTTTTTTATTTGGCCTCTATAAAAGGTCTGGGGAAATCCTTGGCATATCTTCTCACACTGCCACAGGCCAGTATCTAGAAACCCTAAAGAGTTTGAAACAAACGGACAATGCTATAAAAATTGTCCACATAAAGGTGGTAACCCTTATTGAACAAGGGGATCAGTAAGTCAAAAACAAGTTTCCCGCTTGTCCCCAGAGAGTCAGTACAGCCAGGAGGGTCCAGTTGACCATCTTTCCCCTCATATATACGAAAGGCAAATGTATAGCCACTTTCGCTCTCGCACAG